TCTTTGTGGTTTACGACGTACTGTTGAAGTAAGTGGGCGGACAGATCTATGTCAAAAGGATTGCAAGGGTCAAAATGTCCTGTAATTACTTCTATTGGTTTGCATTTTGTGAAGCTATGTATACTATGATTGTAAGCTAATAGGGCATAGGGCATAAGGTTAATAGCGGATTCATTCTTTTGATTTATCTTTAAAATACGGAGATGTTCTAATATGGTGGCGTGAAATCGTTCAACGATACCATTTTCGTTGGGTGCATGTGGGGCTACTCTATGGTGCTGAATTTTATGAAGTCTAACGAATTCTGCAATAAGTTGGTTGGTAAACTCAGGGCCGTTATCGGAAACTATGGTAATTGGAATTCCATGATGTGTGCAGAAAATCAGTAAAGCTTGTACTACACTGACAGCAGTGGCGTCTCGCAAATAATACGCCTGAGCATATTTAGAAAAACTATCCACTATTGTCAAATACTTTTCCCCTTGAATTGTTAATAGATCTACGTGAACTAGTTCAAAAGGCTTAGAAACTGGTGGTACAATTTTAAATTTCTGTTTAACTGGATTGCGGTCGTATTTAGCTTGTCCGCATACTGTACAGTCATTAATAAATTTAGTAATATGCTCTCTCATTTTCGGCCAGTAATATTTGCGGGACAAAGCTGAGAAACACTCGTTAATGCCTCGATGGTTCGTCTTTCCATCGTGATATTTATGAATGATTTCTTGCCGTCTTAAATACTCCCTAACGTTTTCCAATTCACTTTTTGTTAGAAAAAGGTTAAGAGATGAACTTTTAAAAGACTTTTGTATGATTGGTATGACAGTGTACATTGCAGAGTTTGGATTAATGAGTAATCCTGTCCTAATTTTCGGATGGACGTATTCTTTTATAGCATTAATGACATCCTCTTCTATGTTTGATTGAGCTATTTGTATCGTAATGCGTGTGTGTGTTTCGAATGGTTTAGTGATAACTGGTCTAGCTTTTATGTCGCCTACTATATTTAAGATTATCTGTTTAGTGAACATATTTAGCGGTTCGTCAGAAATGGGAACTTCGAGGATGGGGTTTTCTTTATCTGTATGAACGGTGATGGTTCTGAAATCGTATGCGGCTTCGGTAGCCGTTATAGTCCTAGAGTCATCTAAAGTGTGTACCCCTTCGGAAGGATTAGGTAAAATGGAAAGCAATTCATCTATTATGGGTCTTAGCTCGTCATTGTGAAGTTCGATGCGCGATAGTGCATCGGCGTTCGTGTTGCACTTGCCTTGCTTATATACGACACTAAAGTCATATTCACTTAACTTAAGGCGCCATCTGGTTAGACGTGAATTGGGCTCTTTTAAGCTCATAATCCATTGTAAGGGTTTATGGTCTGTAATAATTTTGAATTTACGGCCGAATAAATAGGGACGGAAATACTTTGTCGCCCATACGATAGCTAAAAGTTCCTTTTCTATCGTGCTATAGTTACTTTCGCTGGAGTTAAGTGTACGAGAAGCATATGCAATGGGTTTGTCTGAACCGACTGTCCCCTGTGATAAAACTGCACCAATCGCCACGTTTGAGGCATCGGTTGTCAAAATAAAATCTCTACTGAAGTCTGGATACTGTAAAATTGGGTCATTTGTTAAGAGAGTTTTACAGTGTTCAAAGCAGTTAATATAATTTTGATCTAATGTTATCTTTGATCCCTTTTTAAGACATTGAGTGAGTGGTTTTGTGAGACGTGCGAAGTCTGGTATAAATTTTCTCTAGTATCCTAGAAGTCCTAGAAAACGCTTAATTTCGGTTGTAGTTTTTGGCAGTGGGTATTTTTCGATGGCTTTAATTTTGTCTGGGTTGGGTTTAACTCCGTTTTTACAAATAACATGACCTAGAAACTCGGTTTCCAGCTTCAAAAACTCTGATTTATCCATCTGAATTTTGAAGTTGGATTCCCGTAGCCTTTTGAATACTTTTTCCAGATTTGTCATATGTTCTTGTAAGGATGTACTGAAGACAATTATGTCATCTAGATACACTAAACAAATTTCGTTTTGTAAGTTCTTTAATACGTTGTCCATCACCCTTTGGAAGGTCGATGGACTATTTTTCAGGCCCATTGGCATCCTAAGAAATTCGTAATGCCCATTCTCTACATTAAAAGCAGTTTTGTGAATATCCGCGTGATCCATTTCTACCTGATAAAATCCACTGGCTAAATCGAGCGTGGTGAAGTACTGACATTTGCCCAGTTTGTCTAGAACATCGGTTATATTAGGAATAGGATATTTGTCATCGACTGTCTTTTCGTTCACCTTCCTGAAGTCCACAACAAGACGCCATTTTATTTTGCCGGAAGCGTCCGCCGTTTTGGGTACAATCCAAATAGGAGAGCTCCAAGCAGAATCCGATGGTCTAATTATATTTTGCTCGAGCATCTTATTGATTTGGTCCCGGACTTCCTGTCGGTAGACATACGGGTATCTGTAGCTCTTAGTATGTACGGGGATTTCATCATGTGTTTTAATTCTATGTTTGATCTTGTTGGTGAATGTTAAAGGTTCACCATCAAGGTAAAACACGTCGGCATATGAGACGCATAACCGTTGTAGGTTTGCTAGCTCTTCAGGATTAAGATGATCGGTGCGAAGACGGGATAGAACATTTTTAGCGCGATCCGCTAACGTTTCAGTAAACTGGCACTCGACATTATATATTTCGGCTTCTACCGGACGGTCCATTGAAAAAATTACATCATTTGAGCTGTTATTGGTAATTTCGACCCAACCACGATTATTAATTACTTTCGTTATACAATCAGAGATTATGCAGTTGCAAATTATTTGACTTTCAACTACTACGTCACCGTCCTTTGAGTTTATAGGCAACCCAACTAATTTTGATGACTGCGCGGGTATAATTTCTTCATATAAATTTGTGTTACGTGAGTCATACATTTCGATGGGAATTTTTGCGTTACGAGTAATAAGTAATTTATTTCTAAGATCGATATTAGAACCCCATATGTCTAGTAAATCAAACCCTATCAGTCTGTCGAAGTAATTATGAAATCTATAAATGAACCAGGTTATATTATCTCGTTCATTAAATTCTAAAGGGCATGGGAGAGTTATAGAATAATCATTTTTACTTGTCGCGTGAACATTGGTGACCTCGAATGGGTCATAATTCAGTGGAATATGGCTAAAATATTTTCTTACAGCTTCGGGACTAATAAACGATTGGTTTGCGCCGGTGTCTATTAAGAATTTCAGTGGGGGATTACTTGTCTGAATGTAACCGCGTTGCCTTTGTATGTGGAAATTTACTTCTATTCTTGTTTTTCTGTGGGACACTTCCGAAAATCCTCATCATTAGTCGGGGTGAAATTAGTATCTACTTCCTCTACGATAGGAGCTTCCGCGTGGTTATACGGTGGCTCGTATCCATAGTTAGGATATTGTTCGTAAGTACAGTACTCTTGATTATAGTTATAGTCAGGATAGTCGTATTCATAGTACGCGTCGGTGCTATAGTCGTAGTCAAAATCCGTCAAGTTTACCTCCCGTGTTTTAAAGTAATTGCTCGGCGGTGGGTTGCCAAATCGTCTCCAGTCATGTACAGTCGGTGGTAAGGGTTTCGAAACAAAGGGAGTGACACCGCTCATAGGAGAAGGGCGCGAATTATTATTTAAATTGAAGCCTTGTGGTTGCTGAGGTCTGTTAGGAAGCTTAAACACATTACTCTGGGGGTTATAATTTGGTGGAGGAGCACGCATCATCTGTTGCGTACGAGTGGGACCGCGTGGTACATGCATCTGGGGTGGTAGATTGGGCCTCCAACCCTGTGCAGCATGCGGTTGCATAGGTGGCTGTCTAAACGAGTTCAGTATATTATTACCCTGTGGTCTAGGTAGTGACGGCATGTTAAACGTGGTAGGTTTTGGAAGGAAATTATTCAATGGTAGGCTATGTGAAGGTTGAGTCCATTCCTTCTTGTTCTGTCTGCCTTCATTTCGTTGTTGGAGGTAAAGGGTGTTTAATTCCTCCTGTACGAATTCAAGTGCTTTCTCCATACTTTCGGGTCGCATACATCTTATTCTAGACCCTAGGGGTCTTTTAATCCGCGTAAATAAGCTTGCAAGGTCAGTTTTTTATAGAGTGCGCGCTTAGCTTCAATTGTCGTACTAATCGTTTCATGTAAAGTGACATAAGTCATTATTGTACTAAATAAACTTTGAACTCGCTCGTAAAATTCTTGCGGGGTACTAGACCCTTGGGTTTGTAGTGATAAATCACTGTATAAGGCGGTTTCGTCGCGATGGTCGGCGAAGTTATTTATAAGAGCGCTTTTGATGCCGGCTCAGGTTTCCGGTATTCCATTTGAATTTATTAGCCTAGCCGCGGACCCAGTTATTTTATTTAAAATCCCGTTAATAAGAGAAAGATTGGCTAGTTCGTATCCGGGCTCATTTCTTACGTGGGCTAACACAAGTTGATCGCACAGGTTAATAAAGCGCGTAAGGATGTACGGGTTACCGTCAAATTCGGGCAAAACTCTAAGTGACTTATAAACTAGGTCTATTT